CTTTTACAGATAAGGAAACTGAGGCTCAACGTACTCACTAACACCCACAATGTCACCAGACAAAGCATCAGATCAGGATTTCCACCCCAGGTCTGACTGTTCAGACCTGGGTTTTTTCCACCACTCTGCACTCCCTCCTGCCGGCTCTGTTCCCTGTTCTCTCCCTCTGTCCTCCACAGCAAAGTCACAGCTGTGTCATTGGCTGGCGAAGGTTAGGAAACACAGCTCTGGGCAGTCTCCAGGGGCTCTGCTCTGTTGCCTCCTTCCTTTCCAACTCCTATTATGGTACAAATAGTGCTGGTAACCCCACCAAAGCCTTTGTCATTTGTTCTGTGTCCTAACCGCTCCTATCTCTACCCCATCGCAGTAGCACCCCAGGACCTCAGCTTTCTAAATCTCAGCCACAATATTTTACAAGGACACTCACCAACCTTGAAAGGCAAGGTACCCCGAGGCAAGGAAATGATGGTAGTGGAACAGCATGAGAGGGCAGCGCCATCTAGTGGTGCTGGAGCAGCAGTCCCAGACAGTGACATTTTCAAACAATCAATATCTCATTATTAACCATAATCACAACCTGATGTTTACTTTTGGAGAAATGTTCGGCAGCAAGGGATGCACATGCACTTTTCTGTATGTTTCAGAGGGTTGCGATCCTAAATGCCACAATGACTATTAAACAGTGTCCTGCCCATGAGCAAACAGGAGGGAGCAGAGATTGATTGTATATCTTTTTCATCTAAGCTGCTCACCAAAAACAAAGCAGCCATTGAAGCCACTGACCTTTCACTAACTGCTGGAAGGAAAATGCTTGATAAATAATAAATACACCACTACTGGGTGCTGCTTCGAACCATCTTTTAATTAAAAGAACTGAGCAACTGGAAGGTCAGGTGACTGACATTTAAGTTCCAGTCCAGGAAAAGCATCCATTGAGGGTAAAACTATATCCAAAATGCAATTTCATTGTCAACTGCACTGAACAAAAATCCCCTCTCTGTAATCTGTACAGATGGGGAGGGAGGTGGCGACATTTTGTAGGGGACATGACACTTAACTTCCTGCCTCCTTCGCCTTCCCCTAGCAACCTTTTCAATTGTGTGCTGCAGCAATAACCACTTGTCTGGTTCAGCATCTCCACAGAAACTGCTCCAGGGCTGGGTTCATCCAATCAGAGCCCTGCTTGCCACATTGAGAGCTACCCTAGGAGTGACAGGAAAGCCATTTCCTGTCTTTTCCACAGGAGGGCAGGTGCCCTTCCTCCACTAGCCAAGGTGACCTCAGCCAACTTGTTCACTGAACCTGCTCGGGCGTCCATCTCACTGAGCGATGTCAAAGACGCAAAGCACATGACTGCCCCGGCCACATGGTCTGCCAGCTTTGGGCCGTTCCGGAATGGAACAGGAGGACCAGGAGCAAGGTAATAACATCGTCCCCCGCTCCACTCTCTTCCTTGCTCCCCTGCCCCTCACGTGACACACCTTTCCTTGTTTCTAGCTCCCCAGCCCTCTAGCTGGGGCAGTGCCAGCTTGCTTTCCCTGTCAGAGCCACGTCATGATATAGGCCCTGATCCAGGGTGTAGTCAGGAAAACACCAGCTTTGGGTGAGGCTTGATCACCACTGAGAGCCTAGAAGGAAGGATTTGTTCCGGCCACCCCGGCATGTCTGGTCTGGCGTCCCCAGAGCAGAGGCAGGCACCAGTGCTGGTCTCCAAGAAATCCTATCATCCCATTTGAATGACTATTTAAAAAAAGAATCAGTTGAAGGTTTTTAAGTGGCATTTAGAGACATGATTATCATTTTAACGAAATCCTCTGGTGGTACAGATTTTTCTGTAATACTTCATTTTCAGAGAACATGATGCTAAATATTATACAAAATTACACAAAGAATTGGGTTGGCCCCTAAAGACACAAGATAGAGGATCTATTCAATAAAAGTGAAGGAAGAACTATGTAAAAGCTGCTGAATGTGGGACTTAACAAGCCTCACTACAGGTGATAAAAGATGTGGGACTTGTTTCCTCCCACCCTTTAACTAAGTTCAGCCCCCTCCCCTGCATTCAGTGGCTCCACCTCAGAGTAGGCTTCACCTACTCCCCTCAGAAAGCTCATTCATTCTCCTGGTCCTACCCCTTACCCCTGTGCTAGAGATCTCCTCCCTCTCTCCCAGGTGTCTGTCTGCCACATGGACATTGCATCACTACCTCCAGCTCAGTATGTTGAGAATAGGAACTCTTTCCTCACCCTGCCGTCTCTTAGAGATGCACCATTCTTCTGGTCACTCAGGTGTAATCGTGGAATCTCTGCCTCCAGCTGGAATTGCTGTGGAGACCAGATGCCCTGACATGTCTCTTCCTCCCCCCTCCCTACCTGCCCACTTCCCAGCCTCGTTCTTTATATCACATCTGGGCAAATCCTCCTTTGACCTGACCTGCTCCCCCTGGTCTGCTTCCCTGCTCTCACTTCCTATACCCAACCGAATCCGTGCTGTTATTGAAGCTGCCATGGTCTGTCCCGTCCTCTGGTCAAACCTGAGGTCAAACCATCACAAAAGAATAACAAAGCCCATCACACACAGTACACGTGAGTTTTGCCTTCATTTCTCAGTTAATTCTCATAGTACAAACTGGACGTTGCCCAGGAGGCAAACATTACCCCCATTTCATAATCAGACAGACTGTGACAGGCATAAGGCCACACCAGTAAAAACCAGGGCAGCCAGAGAACTAGAAATGACACCTTCAGACGTATCTTGTGCAAACTTCACTGCAAACTGCACACATGACTTTCTCAGCTGCAGTTCAGCAAACCCACTGACAGGGTCTCTCCTGGAAGGCTCTTTAATGCTTCAGAGGATACAAATAAGGATTTCTGCTCTTGGTTACACTCTGAATAGAGAGACGCTAGTTACAGCTAGAATGGAAGACCAGGGTAAAGCAGGCAGGAGAAGACTAGTGCCAAGTGCATGGTGTGTGTTTGTGTGTGTTAATCCGGAAGGGGCACAGTAAGGGAGACCGTAGACCTGATTTAAACTTTAAAGCTTCCAAGCAGAAATAACATTTGAAGAGGACAGTGAAGGGATGGTTTGTAATGACCATGGTGGTGGGGAAAGTGATCCTGGTAAAACCAGCACACATATTTCAAACCCCACACCACCTTTCAAGGCCTCCAGAGATACCTCTCCCCACCCTCCCCTCCAACTCTGTTGTAGTATGTTTGTATCATAAAAATATACCTGTTCATCTTATTCTATCAAGTCACTCATCTTCCCAACTGGATTTTAGCATTATGAAAGGCAAGAATGAGATTACACTTCCATTCTGCCCAAACTCTTTCGGAACCTGACGGTTCTGAACTGAACTCCCCAGTAAGCTTCACACCTGTCACTCACTACCTTTTGATTGAGATCTTACGTAAAGGCTTACTATAAGCTAGTCCCTCTCTTCTAGTAGGCCTAGGCCCTCCTGAGAGTCCCAGTCTGGTTTAACAGGTCAGAATGTACGGTGAGGGTGAGGGGAATCAGACAGTCTCATACACTGCTGGTGGGAGTATCATTTAGCAGTTTCCATTGGAGGATAATGCTGGAGTTGGTGCTGAGCTTTCCTTGATCCAGCAGTCCCACTGAGAATGCCCCCCTAGCTCTAGCAGGCCATTTGCAGCACAGCAAAATGGAAACCATGAACACTTTGGTCCACTTGCATCCATATAAAGGATTTGAGACATGTTAAGTAGAAAAACAAGGTATGAACAATACATACAATGTTCCCATGTATGTGCCCAAAATATTCTTGGAAAGTCACACCAAGAAATGGTGATACCAGTGCCGCAGGGGAGGGAAAATGGATAGCCGGAGAACAAGGGTGGAAGGGAGAAGTCTCACCTTTAAATTTTGAACCCTGAGCATATTGCATATATATTTTTTAAGGAATTATACAAATAGCTTTTAAAAAATAATCTTCATCACTTGCAAAGAAACTGCCTTTTAAACCCCAGAAACATAAGGTTTAGGGATAATGAGTGATCCCCATTGTTCCTCTGAGAATAAAACTGTCTTCCCTACCTGCTTATGTTCTCCTCCCAAGGCCTGGCCCAGTATTGGGTACCCAATGGTTTCCTAATGTTGAATGGATGAAATTTACCTCTCATCTAAAAGCATAGCACTCCCCCAAACAAGAACTGTGAAACATTTGGGGGGTGGTGGCGGAGAAGGAGCAGCATGGTTAAGAATTGCTTTTGCTTCATGTGCTCATTTGCCTGTCATTAACTGAGCAGCAGTATGCAAGGAGGCAATCAGGCCGTGAGGTGTAGGCCTGCCCTCTGCCTACCGGGAGACAAAAAGACACTGTACAAAAAGAAGAGCAGGGTAGAAAAGATACATGAGTTTTAAAATAAGGAATTTCTGAGGCAGTTTATTACTGGTAGCCAAAAACCATTAGCTTGATTACAAATACAAAGGCTACCATCTCAGAGGACTATTTCATTTATTTAGTCCAAGATAAAGAAATGAGGAAAGCAGGACAGTTAGTGAGGCTTTATAAGCACACCTCAACCCAGAAAGGCAGGAGGATGCTAATGGAGAACATGATCTAAATTTTGACAATCCAGCTCCCTACAGAGAATTCAGTCTTGAACTGGATATATTCATTTATTCACTCAACAAATCTTTACTAGGGCATCTAATTGTCTCTAGCACACTCAATCCATTGAGTTTTGTCCTTTGTCCATCATCAGTGATGGGTCCTCATTCTTATTGCAAAATACAAGTCAGCTTGGCCTCCCAAGTTGAAGATCAATAGCTCTATAACAAATAGTAAAAAGATTATCTGCAGACAGAAATAGTTGGCCAAGGGACCAATTATGTGGAAGTAAAAGGCAGATGGATCCACAGAAGAGAAACATACCCATCTCCAAGCAAAACCTGCTCAGTCAGTCCCATTCAAACAATATTTACAAAGGTTTCCTCATGTTAGTCACTATTTTAAAGTAAATTTACTTTACAAGCAGCTAGGGAATTCTTTATTTAATACCATTCTAATATAAAAGTTCACATGGCTGCTTCTTCCAAGCCATGATACTGAGTTTTATGACAACTTAGAAACAGGAACAAAAAAAAAGCAAATATAATGCCTTAGAGATCAAGAAACATTTACACAGTTCAACTGGTAAAAACAGTTCCACGTTCATCTAGCGAATACAGCTTGGATGTCAGCATACATGGTACACGAGTCCTTCAGGGAGGTGAGTGACCTTTTGACTGTTCTGCAGGTGTCTCCAAATGCTGGTCCTGTGGAACCTCTTTCAGAGGCTGGTGTTTTTCCAACACAGTTTGGGGTTTGACAGCCATCTTTTCAGACTTCCAGGAAATGTGACTACCTTCCTGTTGCTTAAAAGACCAGATATTAGTCCGTCATACAGATGTTATCATTTTCACTCAATTAATTGGCTGAAGTCATATGACTAGATACATTCAGTAAGTCAAAAATTTAATGTTAACATTTCAGGTCAAATTCTATTATAACAAACAAATGGCATAACAAAAATCTGTACAGAACCACAGTTTCAAAGCCTAAATAACAACTCACTTGTTCCCAGTAGCAGTCATTGCCACAAAGTCCCCGCGCACTCACCCTCACAGTCCCTGACTTGGAGTTTAGGAACATGAGCCAAGATTGAGGAAAGAAAACCAAGCTTTCCTTTAACTTCTGACAAATGGGTAACTAATGATAATTTTAATAATAAACTACTCACCGTCTTTGTTCCTCCTACTCGTCTTAAAATGACACCTTCTGCCAACAAAGCCTTCCCCGTTTCCACAAATAACTTCTCTTCATCTGTTTCCCCAAGTTTCTGTAGCTCAGTGTACTTCTCCACAAACCTGGAATCCCAAGCAGTCACATCTTAGGTCTGGGAACGGAAGTCATCAAGACCTGCTGTTACTCAGCATCAAGCCTTCCCTTACGCGCTCCTGCTACAGGAACATCTTTTCCTCAAGCAGAATTCCAACAACACTCCTCAAAATGGAAAACTAAGTCCTTTTTTAAAAAAATGTTTTCAACTAACTTATGACTTATAAAATGGCTTACCGTTGACAAGTAGACTTGAAATTTGGATTGAGCAGATCAAAAGCTTTTTGACCAGATCCATAGGTTGCATAAAATTTCCTAGAAAATACAAACACCACAATATAAATTACTAATCACAGCTCATGGTCACAAACTGAGGAAAGAGTAACTGCTGGGCCCTGAGGAGGTAAGCAGTTAGCCATGACCCTGCAGTCAGCCTGAGCCTCACAGTTTTGTTTTTGTGTTTCTAACACATACACAAGATAAATACATCAAGTGTTACAAAAGGGTAACAACACTCCTCAGCTGGCACCCCAAGCTTCCAGTTCCCTTCCAGGATGCAACACTAACCAGTGTCTTATGCAGCCATTCAGAACACTCTAACATACCATTTCACTTTTTACAGTTAAATTTAGACACATCTGGATTTTATTTTGTTGTTACAAGTTCTTTAAAATATCAAAAAAACAAACAAACAAACAAAAGCAGCCACAAAGTTATAGGTTTAGAGCAATATTTAAACACGAGGTGTTACTACTTTGGCAGTAACAGTGATAAAAGCAGTAAAAAATTCCATCACATTCTTCAAGGACCTATCACCTAGTTCCACTGCTATCCAGATAGTGGAAGAATAAATGATTTTAATGTGTGTTTGACCAGGGGAAGCATACTGACCAAGTGCATGCAATGGATTGCAATATAAAAGTGCTTCTAAAAAAAAAAAGATTTCATGCTCCAGAGATCATATGTCCTACTTTGACAATTTCCTAATAGAGCAAAAACACACTTGTTCTCCCACTGACAAGGAATGTTTGGGGGAAAAGATTCCTCAAATGAAAGGTGTCTGGACCTCAAAAGAGAATATAATGACTATATAAATTATTTTCCTGAATCCAGGAATATGAGTAAGAAGAGGAATATGTATTAACTTCAATTAGGCACAAAATCTGATCTTAGCATTTAAAAGAAAAGGAACTGTATAAATTCTAAGAACTAGAAAGCTAACTGATGACAGTATTTGAAGGAAAGAGCTTTCTCAGTGAATCCCCAGTAAGTCTTACCATTTACTTCAGAGTCCAAATATAATTTATAGAAAGGCTAACTGTGGGCATAGAAGTGGTTTCTAATCTGTTATTCTATAAGTTGTTTTAGGAAGCTAATAAAACTCTGATGGCTTTTCTCCAAAAAGCCCCAATTCTGGCCCTTTGTTTCTCTTCTCTATGGAGTTTTTGCTTAAGTCTCCCTCTGCTAGCCTAGTGGTTCACTCATTCATAATTAATCCATTAAACGTCTTTCAAAAGAAAAAAAAATAAACGTCTTTCAAAAGACTTAACAAGTTGATTAATAAGCAACTTGCCTGTCACCTACTGGGCTGGGCACTAAGGTTACAAAGATGAATATGACAGTGCCAGACCCATGATGGTGTTTAAATGTTTGTTATTGAATGAACATTGCAAGTTGGACATGCAAAAGTGTTAAGACAGGTTAAGGCCCTAGCAGAGGCAACAGGCATGAGGACTTGGGGTGTAGAAAGGGGGAGAAACTGGGCCTCCCCGGTGGCACAGCGGTTGAGCGCTGGGTTGCGAAGCTGCCCGCAGCCTCTAAAGCACCAGTTCGATCCCCAGCCACTGGCAAGGGTCCCACATGGTGTGCAGATCTCTCCTGCCACCCGCTGCTCCCCTCAGCAGTGTATCGTCACTCTGCCTGTTCTGCTCCCCGCTCTGGTGAATTCTCTCATCCTCCTGCGCTTCTGAGTGTACCCAGTGCTTGTATAAATAAATAAATCTTTTTTAAAAAAATGCTCATAGAATACTTTATTTAAAAAAGGGGGGGGAGAAACTAACAATGAGAGTCATAGAGAAGTATGTGATGAGCTTCGGATACACAAAGAATGTGGCAAGTGAGCTGTTCTTTCTGTTTTAAAAAGTTAAAGTGTGGCCAAGAAGAGGTTTAAACGTCACTCAAACTGACAAAACAAAAAACCTTTAAAGACCTTTTAAAGAATGTTTCTGAGATACCATTTAGACATAACTTCTCCATAGCTATTTAAGTTTGGGTAGGAAAGGTGAGTAAAGAGGATTAAAGAATATTTCTTCTAGTTTCAACACCTGATTTGCCCTTTGAAAGTGACTCTGCCTTTTGCCCACCGTAAAGGCTTCACACTCACGCTCTAATCCGATCCTCCTGGTACAAGATGTCTCGAATGTGAGCTTTGGCTTTGCCATATCGCAATCGAGGTCTTCGGAAGACCGGCTCCCTCAATGGGGGAAAGGCATTATATATGTCAAACCAGAGGGGCTTCTCCTTCAACACTCCAGCCCGAATCAGATCTCGAGTCCTTAAGGAAGGGAAAAGAACGAAGGTCAGTTACAACAGTCTAAGTTCCTAAATCAGTCTAGCCACAGCCTGGGGCATCAGTGGGATCACCGAGTTCGCAACACATCACCTGAAGACGGGCAGGGCAGGGGTGTTCCACACCCCAAACCAGGGGTTAAGTGTCTCTATCTTCTAGTGCGTGTCCCCTCGCCGCAGCCCAGTTCAGTCAAGGAAATGCAAGGGTGGTCCAGCCGGGCCCAGAAGCCTCCCACCCCCACCCCCCACCCCGCCTTCCTTTGCCTAGAAGTCTCCACGGGGGTGGGAGTGGCAGGGGGCTGGGGGGGGATTACAATGCTGCAGGTGAAAGTACGAAATTCAAAGAGGGACATCGTCTGGCAAAAGTACCCCGAGATGTGAGAGCAAGAGACGCCTCGTGCTGTTCAGCCACCAACACCGGGGTCAAAGTTCCACCCAGCTCAGATCCACCCACGCCCAGCTGACAGCCCGCGCCCGGAGGCGGCCCCCGGTTCCCTCAGCCCGCCCGGCCCGGGCACACACCGCGTGAAAATGCTCCCCACGGTTTCCAGTCTGCTCCCTGCCATTGCGGGCACCGCGGGCTGAGCCCAGACAGCTGCTGCCGGAACCGGAAGCGTCTGGGGGCCGGCACAGGGGGCACAAGTTGCTGGCCGAGCCGACGATCGTGCTTACACTAGCGGCCCCGCGGTGCCGCACCGCCAGACAGAAGCAAGCGATCGACAGGCGCGCTCCTCGGCTTGTTGCCAAGTTCAGACAGGAGCACTCGATGACCGAGCCGAATGGGCGCGCGAGAGCCCAAACCCGACAGAGGCAATCAACTACCGATCTAGGGGCGGGGTTGATTGCGGTGGTTGCTTTATCCTCTCTGGCTTTCCAGGGCCGACCGCTCTCGAGAAGGGGGTGCTGCGCAGAGAGGAGGAGGAGGGGGGAGGCGCAGCCTACCTCCCGGAGGAGACAGCCAGGCCAGGGAATACACTGTAGAGACAGGTGGCCACCGGGTCTAGACCCAGCCTGGGCCTGCTCTTGGTCAGGGTCGTGATTGGCAGGAGTCCGAGGGGCACGCGCTCGCCCAGGGTCCCACTACAGCCCGAGCTGAGGCCCTGCGCCTCTGCGGTTGCTGCTCCCCCTGAAGCCTTTGGGTCTGGAGCGCCGCCCGCGTCCGCTTAGCGGGGATTCTGGAACTCTCCGTGGCGGACGTCGCTACCGGCTGCGCCATAGAACTTGAAAAGTGAAAGTGTCCGGAACAAACAGATCCCGACGAGGAGATGAAAAAAATCTGGGGGAAATAATCTCTCAGTGTTACTCTTTGGTCCAATAGTCATACTCATAGAAATTAAAGCACGGTATCATGAGGATATTTGTGCACAAGGATCGTCATTGCAGCATTGTTTGTAGTCGTAAAAAAAAAAATCCAGGGCCTCCCCGGTGGCGCAGCGGTTGAGCGCTGGGTTGCGAAGCTGCCCGCAGCCTCTGCAGCGCCGGTTCGATCCCCGGCTGCTCCCCGGCCACCGGAGGAGGGTCCCACATGGCGCGCAGACCTCTCCTGCCGCCCGCTGCTCCCCTCAGCCGTGTACTTCGGTCCTTCTGCCTGCTCTGCTCCCCGCTCTGGCTCTGGTGAATTCTCTCACCCTCCCGCGCTTCTGACTGTACCCAGTGCTTGTATAAATAAATAAATAAATCTTTAAAAAAAAAAAAAAAAATCCAGCAAAAGATGAATGACTGCAAAACTATGGTTCTGCATACTATGGGATCCTCTGCAGTTATTAAAATGAATCAGCTAAGTCCATATGTATTTACCTAATTGAGTGGCCATGATTCATATTTAAATTTAAAAAGGGAGTTGCAAAGAAATGCCTTTAGTGGGTGGGATCCTAACCTGTTAAAAGAAGAAAGAAAAACACCTCTATCTGTATTTGTGTTTGTGTGAAGATAAAAACTATGTGGAAGACACCCGAGGCTGTAAACATTTTGTTAAGAGAGGGAGGGAGAATTTTTTTTTTCTTCCTTTATACATTCCTCAGATTGACCGGTAAAGAGTTTATCTGAACTTTCTAATCCAGTGAAATGTTTTGAATCACAAACATTCTCCCGGGAGCCCATTATCTTTGTCAGCAAGAAATAAAGCCTCCAGTCATCCCAGAGTCCTCAGGCTCTACAGGAGGCTGGTGAGGAGGAAGGGACTGTTTGATGAGCAGGTACCGCTTGTGTTATCTCACTGAATCCACACACCTACTCACAAGGTGGCTATTATTATCCTAAAGAGAGATGAGAAAGTGAAGCCACAGGGGGTTAAGTAACTTCTGTTAGGTAACAGAACAGATCCAGGCTCACAGCCCAGCCTGGGCCCTTTCCAGGACCTCCTTAGCAGAGCCTAAAGCTAGAGCCTGGTGAGGTCGACTGAGGAGGTCAGGCAGAACTGCCCAGAAGTAGGGGGACAGCATGATTTGAAGTCCAGGGCTAAACTGAGAGGTGGGTTTCACTGCTGCCTGGGAACCTCTGAGAATGAGAAGGAAGAGCACAGCTCTGGCAGATGGGCCCAGCATGGAGGCTCCAGTCTCACAGCAGGAGGGAGGTCCAGGAGACTGCTCCAGGGAGAACAAACACACACCCAGCTAAATATAGTCTTCCCAGGCCTCATAACAAGTTTCTAATTCCGTCCAAGTCAGAGCTAGCTGCCAGCCCAGGCCACAGACACACTTCCCTCTCCTACTCGGACCTGCTCCCCGCACCGCACCCCCAGGGAACTGCAGTTACTGCTGCAAAGGAATTGGAAAGGTTTCTTCCAAATTCAAAGAGGGGAGCCAAAGACCCAAACCTTCAATGGGGGAAGAATTGCAAAGCGGGTATATCCTCTCTAGATCTTGGGGAAGTCCTTCTCTGAGCCTTTCCGTTCTCTCTTCCAACATCATGCTTAATGTTTCCATGGCCGAGAAAGCAGAATGTTGTTGGTTAGAGTGAGGGACTATGAAAATACAGGAACAAGACAGATGAAGCCCCCTAAGCCCGCAGCAGGACGTGTACAGCTGAGGATGCATTCACTCATAATAAAGGAGGGAGCTGCTGGGGGGGGGGGGGGGGGGGGGGGGAGGGTGGTGGGAGATGAGCATTCAAGGCTTTCTGTTTTTTCACCAGGCCTGGCAAGGCTGCAGGGAGCTGAGACTCTTAGGTCTTGCACTGCAACTGGGCTGGGAGCCTGCATCTCCTCGTTCGATTGCTCTGCTACCTGAAGCCATAGGTAATGTCCTGACAATCTTACAGGTTAGGAAAAGGATCTTTTGTAAATTCTCCAAAGGGCCATTCCTCCCACTCCACCACTAGGACCCATTTGAGTCCCACTGTGTGACACAGTAGAAGTGCTCACTAATCATGTCACCTTAGACAAATGAAGTCACTTTTCAATCCACTTGTTTGCCCATCTGTTAAGATGGCGGTGTTAGCTATCTGCATGGCTGGTTGCTGGAGTAAAAGAGCTCCAGTTTGTGGAAAGAGCTAATCACCAAGCCTGGCACCCAATAAGCACTTTGAGGAGCAAGCCCAGTGGTGGTCATAGGTCACGATCACTGTTGTGTCCTGCAGTCCATGACTGCCATGTGGGACTGCAGTGTTTTGATATTTCATACATTGCCTTGTTAAAATGATCCATTGATCCCACAAGCTCAGAACTACCCACCTCACCCTGTGCTGAGTCCTGGAGAAGCTGACTATCCAGGGTGGGGTCAGAGAGGCCAATGCAGAATTGATAAGCTACGTGCCGAATAGCTGGCCAACTGCATTTGTCTGCCTGGACTGACAGGCAAAGTATACCACAGAGTAGAGAGCCTAAGCGACAGGCATTTATTGTTTCCCAGTTCTGGAGGCTGGAAGTCCAAGATCAAGGTGTCAGCAGGGTTGGTTTCTTCAGAGGCCACTCTCCTTGGCTTGTAGGTGCCGCCGACCCCATGTCCTCACATGGCCTTTGCTCTAAGTATCTGTGTCCTTACCACACCCAGTCCACAGTGGATTCTGGCCCAACCTACTGGCCTCACTCACTTATCTCTTTAAAACTGTCTCCAAATCACAACCCAGAATAATGGGGGTTAGGAATTGCACATATGAATTTGAGGGGGACACAGTTCAGCTGATAACATCAACTGATAAATGCTTGTGCTAAGCAGTTCTGTTGACCCGTGGAGGTGCACAGCCACGCTGCCCTTCTCACACCGCTCTGAGCTGGAGGAGGAGAGGCTGCGTCCTCTAGCGCCTTGCTCTCTGCTTCCTGTGGGTTCCAGTCGGTATGACCGATGAGAGGCATTGGTGACAGACCGGAAGGAAGTAGAGTGAAGTGAGTCTCTTTCGTGGTATCCCTCCTGCCCACTCGCAGCTCCGCAGGACACCATTTCCTCCCTGGCCCTCAGGCCCAGATCTAGCAAACTGAGCCCCTCTGTTAGTAGTTATGGGGTGTAGGCCCTCCCTTGTGGCTTCCCTTGGCTCTAACCACGTCTTCGTAAATACGGCCCCTTAATTCAATAGTGTCCCGGCGAAGAAGAGCATCCCCAACAGCAGAACAGCTTTGGGAAGTGAAAATCCCAGTCTGTTGATGAAATCAGTAATGCTACAATTGGCAAAGAGCCAGGACTGGAGCGAAATTAGCTGTCACTTTCACAAAGGAGGGAAGCAGTAGAACGTATTCAATACGCAGTGTGAGGATGGGGAGAAGGGAAGGCTAGGAGGAGGAGGAGTGGCCCCTCTCCGCTCCAGGGGGTCGCCAGCCCCCCTCTCTTGGGCCCCGCACTTTGACTCCTTCCATTCGGGAAGGCACTTCAGCTCCCAGCACTCGCTTGGCCAGATGGGGCCAGTGTGCCCTGGGCCCTGCTCCCTCCCTCCCTGAGCTTATCTCTCTCATAATTTGGTGTGGTGTTGTAACTCTGTTTACTTGTCTGAGTCTGTCTAACTGGGCCTCTTTGAGGGCAGGACCTAAGACTCTTATCTCTGCCTTCCCACAGCTCTCTGGTGCTTGGTCCAGAGCTAGCTCTTAAAGTGTACTAGGGAACAGCAGGGATGAATGAAGTCAAGTTAGGACAAATGAGGATGCAACGACTGCAGCCCCTCTTTGCTGCCCGTCCACATCCAGCCCTCCTTCCTGGAGACCTTCCCCAGATACACCAGTTTGGAGAAAGTGTGGTTGAGAGGAAATGATCCGTCACCCTCCCATGCACTGTTCTGGTCATTTCCAGTTCTGGCTGTCCTTTGTGCCTCACTAACTTCTGGGCTTCAGCTTTGTCATCTGTAAAATGGGCATGATCCCAGAACCCTCTAGCCTTGTTGTGAGGATTCAGTGGGTTATTGCCTGCAGAGTGCTTCAAACAATGCCTGGTGTTTAGTAACTTCTCAGTTAATTGGGGTGCTGATGATAATGATTTCCACACCTAAGGAAAATCATGCCCTACAATTAAATCATGCCTAACAATCTTCAAGGAGTTGTCACACAGTTGCTGATTCATTTCTTCAGCAAATAGAAGCCTTGCTCCCTAGGCAGAGGGAGAAGTACATTATGCCTGCACAAGCCCTGGGAGGTCTGTATCCCTGGAGCTCAGCAGTCTGACCATTTATTACTGGAATTAAAGGCAACTGGAACTGCTCAGTGGGGTTTTCCCAGCAGAGGAGATCCTTGAGGGCAGACATTTCAGGGCTGGCTAAAGATTGATTTATTTATGCATACAAGAGCTGGGGTGTAGGTCAGAGGTGTTGGGTGTGAGAGGATTCACCAGAGACAGAGTGGGGAGCAGAACTGGCAAAATGACTGAAATACACTGCTGAGGGGAGCAGCGGGCGAGACAGGAGAGGTCTGCTGTACCATATGGTAGCTCCGGCTACCGAACTCATAAACTCATGCTGCAGTGGCTGCCAATAGCTTCACAGTGCTAAGACGTAACCCCTTGCGCCACCAGGGAGGCCCCTGAGACAGCATTTCTAACAAGCTTTCCGGCTGATGCCAGTGTTGCTAGTCTGCAGATAGGGTGGCTCACATTTGCCCAGGACATGCCCTATTTTAGTATTAAAAGGTCCACATTCAAGGAAACCACTTAGTCCTGGGAAACCAGAGCAGCAGGTCTCTGGGCTGGCAGACCATACTTTGGATAGCAAGGTCACAGCAAGGCAGGCTTGTGCTGAGCTTGTACTGAGCTTCACAACACCTCACTTCAGAGTCCCTGGCTTCTTGACCTGATAAAGAATTGTGACTCTTGACTCTAGAAATCACAAGCTGATCAATGCTGTTTTTGTGGGGTCTGAAGTTTATATAATCTTAGTGATCCTTTTGAGGAAAAAAAGGACAAAAATATCCTTGTTTTGCAAATTTTACAAAACACATGACTGAACAGAGTAAATTTCCCTTCTGTCTGTTTGGCCTCAGGCCAAATGGGTCTCATGTATTCCTTCTGGAAAAATGGTGTTTGGGCTCAGCGGCCAGCGACTGCCCCTTCTACCATATGACCACCAGGTGGCAGTAGTTTTACACAACCTCCTTCAGTCACACCATCACTCCAGAAATTTCCAAACCTTTTTCCAGCTGGTCTGGTCAGCTAATCCAACAAATTAATCTATGGTGTGCTGATGAGCAAAGTAGCTCATGTGCTCCCCTCTCAAATGCATATTTAATAAAATGCTAAGAGATTGATTTTAAAACCAGAAATGCTAAAAGGTGAGTTCCAGGTACACTGTCCAATCTCACATTACTAGGAAGTTGTTTTTAATCAGGTGGACCTTTCTGTGCTCCACAAATTGCATCTATGCAAGGGATCTTGGTCCTATCACCTGTTCCCCCACCCCAATATACAGCTTAGTATTTAGGCACAAGCTCTGGAGTTCAGCTGCCCAGGCTTAAATCCATGACTCCTAGAGGTCACTAGAGTAAGAACCTTATCATCTTTTGCCTTAGTTTCCTAATCTGTGATGTGGGAGTAATAATACTGATTCATATAATAGTTGTGGGGGTTAGGTAAAATAACATGTAAAGCACCCAGAGCAGTGACTGTATGCGGTAAGCACTCAACAAGCAGCTATCTTCTTTAGCATCCCATACCTAGACTGCCTTTTGCCTTCTTCAAACTATATTCTCCTGTCTTTCCTTCTGCCTCAATCCAGTACCAGCTGCTTCAGCTTACAGGGGGAGGGTTGAGCCCTCAGCATGGTCAGACCAGGCCAATTTTGGGCAGAGTTCTCTCAACTTGGGATCAATCCCTGGGGTCACCAGAGCATAAGGGGCACTGACTGAACTAGACTCCAGATGGCCTGGCTCAGTGCTTTTGCAGGTAAATCTGGGAGCAACATCTTGTGGATTAGGAGCATAGAATTTGCTGACCATGGTATGGAGAGTAGTCATCTCGCCCACCCCAACTCCTTCCCGGGTTCTCTACACCCTGTTTAACCAGGAGGCGTGCATCACAAAGTGGGGGCATCATCATCTGCATGACTAGTGAACCCGGTAAGCTTTTTTTGCCTTGTGTCCCCATGTCCCCCTCTCTGCATATTACCTTCGGCCTCATCTACACTAAAAGGCAAAATGGTGAATGGTTCTCAAACTCTGCCTCATACTGGAATCTCAGAGAAGCTTTTACAATCTGACTCCTAGGCTAAATCTCAAACCAATTAAACCAGAATCTCTGGGAATAGCACTCAAGTTTCAGAAACGATCCCAATGAACAGTGAGTTTGAGAACCAGTGTTCTAGAGTAGTGTTTCTCAAGTCATAACGTGCACACGCGTCTCCAGAGCCGTCTGTGAAATGCATGGTCTGGTTCAGGCGGTGTGGGGTAGAGCTGAGGTGGTTTCGCACAGGTGATAGGATTGAGATCCCTTGCATAGATGCAATTTGTGGAGCACAGAAAGCTCCTGTGCGATACAGACACTGCTGGCCCACAGAGCCAGGCTGTACAACTGTGGTCCTCAAATGGAACCATCTATCAGAATCATCAGAGGACTTAATATACACTCCACAATCAGATTCAAGAGCTCAGGAGTAGCACCTGATGACACGCGTGTCTAACCAGTTCCCGGGGTCCCTGTGCTGGTGGCCCAAAGAGCACCCTGAGCAGCAGGGCTGGAGGATGGGACACAGGTGGGGTGTGGGGGCCCAGTTTTCTGTCATCATATCTTGTTGGCCTTTTGATCATGGGTAAGTGACTTCACCTCTCTGAACTGTCTTTCATCATCTATATGGCCATCATTGGGTGAGATTAATTGGGCTGACAAGAAACACCTGACAGACTGCCTCTGTGCTGGTCCTCACGCTTGATAGTCAATTTGAATCACCTGAGAGAGGGCGGCGCTTTAAAAGGAACCAAACTGCCTCGGCTGTTCCCTTTCACACGCAAGCTGGCTTTCAGCCCTTTGGGGTTGGGGCCTGGCTGGAGGGGAAGGGAGCCCCTTTGTAGGGAGGGCTGAGGGCTTGGAATTGCTTGTTCAGAGCCAAGAGCCCATCATGAGCTCAAATATGGTTGGGGGGAAGCTGCGACTTTGGCCTGGGAGGCACAGAGTCCAGAAACAAGATGTGGTGGAAGGTCTAGGGGCCTTTGGGTTCAAGACAAAGAACTTTTAACCTTGAGAAGTGCCCTGCGGGGGCTTCCTCTCTGCGTGGGAGGTAGTCTACCCGGGCCGGAGGGGAACTGGGCATAGCTGAACTGGAAGATCTCTGCAGTCTCTCTGCAGTTGAGATTGCACCCCCACCCCTGCCAGTGCGGCCAGCCGCTACTCCAGAAGCATTGTTTATTTAGGGAGGTGACCGGCTGGAGTTTTCGCAACAGACTGGCTTTTCTTTGTCCCGCCTATCAGCAAGCGGTTTACTTTCCAGGGCAAACAGGCAGGCGACCGGGCAGAGCAAAGCCAGCAGGTCGCGAGGTTCCCCTGCGGGCAGGTGTCAGGGCTGGGCCCTCTGGGTCTTGCTTTGGCCGCGGGTGAACCGGCCTCGGCGGGCTGCTGGGGTGGGGTGGGGTGGGGGGGAGCCAGCCCACGCCCCTGGCTACAGCAGAGCACCGAGAACACCAAGTCTTTATTACAGGAATTCCTATGAAACAGCTCCAAGAAAAAACCCACACATCGAGGGCGGGTGGGGGAACTAACAAAGCAACACACACAGACGTGGGGCCGGGGCTTCCCCCGCGTTGCTGGGGCCCTGGCTCGGGAGGGGTCACGGCCGCAGCCCAGAGCTCCTTCCGTGTCCCCCGAATCAGACCCATCCGGAGCCCGGGCTGGCGGGACGGAGGATCCCCTGGGGAGCAGCAGAGGGCCGGCCCCACACACGCTTCCAAACTCGGTCATGCTCGGGGCGGCCGCCTCTCGGCAGCCCAGGGTTGGGGCGGGGGGGGGGGGGGGGGGGCGCGCCCGGCCCGGCGCTGCGCTCTGACCGCAGTGGGGGGGGGGGCAGGGAGCGCTCGCGGTCTCGCCTCCGCCGCGGGCCCGCCACGCCCTCATTATCTCGGGGTGATTTGCGGCCGCGGGGGCCCTGCCAAGGCTTCCCACTCCCAGCCTCCCGCTCTTGACCCGGGCAGGTTCCGCGCTCCGGGGCCCTGAAGCCTGGGGCCTGCCCAGGGCTCCGTATTCTCCGGAGAGAGCAGCTTCTTCTAGACGGGACCGCGGGGCCAAAGACTGGGGCGCTTCCCTCGGGCTGGCAGTGGTCGGCCGCGTGGTAAAATTCAGAGAACCGGTAAAAGTCCTCTTCGGGTCCACTTTCTTGCTCTTGGCAAGGGGTACCCGCCAGGTGCTCCCTCCTAGGCTGGCAGCTCTTTGCTCCCTAGTCCTGCATTCTTCTCGACGAGGGTCACTTCATTACCCTTCACTGCCCGCCCTGAGGGGGCAGCAGGACTTCTGGTCCAGCTGGGGTGTCAGAGCCCCTGTGAGCCCTGAGCTGGGTGACTCCAGGGTCCCACCGGCTTTTTGCCTTCTGCCAAAGTAGACTGCCCCCACCTAACAAGAGCCCTCACCAGCTCCAGAGTGGCCACCCTCCCCATCCCTGTGAGGGCCCCCTCTGGAGGTCCAGCACTCCTCAGAGTGGGGGAGTGGCAGCCCCCACTCTCCCAGCCCAGAGCTCTGCAGGGGTTGCTCAGGGTCAGCAGCCACTGGAATGGCTGAGATGCAGGTAGTGTGGGAATAGAGCACACATGGGGTGCCCAGAAGAGAGGTGGGGAGGGGAGTAGGGGGTTGGGCAACGCCTGTGACCCAGCTGGGGAGATGAGGGAGGGAGGCTGGGCTCCAGCTTCTGGTCAAAGAGACTCCAGCCATGTCAGCTTTCATTCATTGCCCCTAGCACAGCCTGGCTGAACAAAAGGGCTGTGGCTGGCTGCCCCCCACCCCTTCAATCACAGCACGAAACTCCGAAGTTCTTAGTCCCATGGAAAGTGGCAGTGGCTGGGCTGGACTGTGGCCGGAGAATCACTGGGCCTCGAGACTCAAGCACCATCTGTCCGGCGGCAGCTGGGCCCTTCAGCTGGGGCCAGTTTTGCTTTCCGGCGGCCTCCGCTGGGTCAGGTCATCTCTGGAGAGAATTGCTGGCATCTGGTAAGGAAAAGGAATGGGGGTGTCAGTGGAGCCCAGGGGTCTTTCCGGCTCGCTGGTTCCTGCAGAGACGGGCTGGGGCAGAAATTACCAAAAACAGAGACCGCCCCTTCCTCCAGGGCCTCTGTCAGGCTTGGGGCTCTTCCTGTGTCACCTTCTCTACACTCGCCAATCCAGGCTCCTGGAAAAATCCCGACTTTTAGAAAACCACAAGACGTTGGCAGCTAGAGCTGGAGTGAGGGGCTGCAATCCTGGGTGAAGCAACTGTCTGGGCAAGGCTGAGAGCTGGGGAAGTGCCTGTTCCGAGAGAGCAGTAGCTCCTGGGAGCTGAAACAAGGGGACCTTGGTTGGGCAGAAAAATAAACTGGGGTTAGAATTTGGTGCCTCCCAGATACCAGTCTGAGGAGTTGACAAACCGTTTGCTCAGAAGACCCATTCAAACATCTAAGGAGATAAGGAACTAAAGTGTTTTGCTAATGGGGTGAACAGAGCAGGGGCAGTGAAGAGGCCAGCCCTGGTAACCAGGTGACCGAGTCTGCCAGGGCGATGATGGAAGGAAGGAGAAATAAACTGGGGAAGTCGGGGAGAGACTGGCTTTGTGAGTTCATAGCCAGGTCTAGAAGGACAATCATGGGTGCTGCGGGGGAAATGGATTTGGAAGACAGCGGGACTCAGATTTTGGAGCCAACAGCACAGAAGTCTTGCTGGTGCTGCAGGAGACAGAGGCGCTGTCCCAATGACACTTTGAAGCGGGGGAAGGGAGAATTGAGGGAGCGTGAGGAGCAGTGAGAACCGGACATCACAAGGGGAACACCCGGCAGAGGGGAAGCCGGTGCAGGATTCCCGGGGTCACAGGAGCCAAGGGAAGGGCGGGGTGCAGAGCAGGAAACCCCTGCACTAGGCAGGCGACCTTGTGTCAACCTGGAGTGGTAGCAACAGGTGGTAGAGGAGGAGGAAACCATTTTTGCAAGTTGGGTGATGAAGGAAAACGGTACTCCTGGCTTTTAGATGGGAGGAGGAGGATGCAGACTTGCAGAAGGAGCTAGAGAGGGTAAAGCTGACGACTCAGGAATGAAATGATGAGCAAGGTCCCAGTACAGGGGAGGCTCTGTGGGAAACCTGTGGGAAGGGGTCTTCCCTGGGAGGTGATGCCTGGGGTACACTTGGTGAGTGAGGGAAAGCTGCAGAAAATTTGAGGGGCCTAGAAGTGCTGGTGGGGGCAATGGGGAGACCTCTGAGAGGTGACTGAACACCAGCCGCCCCAGCTGAGGTGACAGGATGCTTGTGCTGTCCCTGGCTGCCTGATTCATCTCGCCTCCACTGAAACTGTCCTGAGGGAAGCAAGGATCTCTCCAGAGTTTAAAGCAGGGTCACACCTGCCCCATCAACTCAAAAAAGCTTGTCGATGCTGACCACACGGCCAGGCCGGGAGCTTCCTGAGGGGCTGGAAGAGAGACAGGTGCAGCTTGCAGCCTAAAGGAGACGTGGACGTTGCCTGCTTCTCCCAAACCTCACCCCACCCCAGGGATGCACAGGAAGAATGGGGGGGGGGGGAAGCAGCCTGGGGGGTGGTGAGGGGACTCCAGCCAGATACCCCTGCCTTGAGAGGGGCCATTTCATCAGGCCGTGGCAGCTCCTACGCTAGCCACCCAAGCAGGCAGGGGAGAGCGTTCGCGTGCACACTGAGTGGTGAGGCCATCCCAGTTTCTTCTAGAGTCCTTTTCGCGTGCACTGGGTATCCCGTCTTCTCAACTGGGCTGTACGTATACGAGATCAAAAGGTCATCTTTTACCTGTTCCAGTCTCTGGTGTGATTGATTACCTTTTGTCAATTGAATAAATAACCCAGGAAAAGAAATGCAAACCAGTTCCCGGGCAGAAGCCCATGAACACTGTCACACTGTGAGGGAAGAAGTCCAGGACCTCTGGACCCCCCAGGGTATGGGGTGTGGTACACCCCGTGGCTCCAGGCCTTACCTCTTACTGTCCTTCCCTTAGGGTTTCCTCCACCTTGGGCACCTCCTGTCGCCTTCCCTGGAAGTCTTCATCTGAAAAGCAGAGGAAAGCTGCTTCATCCTCTACCCTGCTGGGCCTTGAAGCCCAGAGACTAAACCTGCTCAGCACTTTGTTCTCCAGTGAAGCCCTTCCATGGGGTAGGCCCGTCTACCCCTCATACCCTGGAGAATATTCCTTAGAAACAGCTCCTGGCTCTTTTTGATACAGGTGGAGATTTAGGTAGAGGCAACACTAGGGCCAACCTCAGGGGTGGTAAGGAAAGGCAGTATGGCTTATCTCTTAGGGTCACCTGCCTAGCTGGCCTTGCTCTGACCCCCAGGTCGACTGCTTCCTCCCTGGCAGGCTGGGTCCACCCATGAAACACCCAGGCCCCACTCTTGAAGGGTCACCAATCACAGGCAACTTAAGGCTCATGCTTCCCACCCTCCCTGCCTCACCACAGGGATGGCCCTCCACGTCGTCCAGGAGGTTGGCTGTTGAAGCTGCAGCTCCCAGTCTGTGGGCCACTCAGGAAAACTGTCCACAGGGATGGTTGAGCACTGGCTTAGTCCTCCCAGCTCCACCCACTCCCTGCCCCTGACTGCCTCATACCAGCCTAATCCTCTAACACTAGGAGCACCCCACCCCAACCCTTGGGTTTTTGGGGTCAGCTGAGCAGCCAGGCCCTGCCTCTCTCCAACAGAGAAGTGACTTTCTCCCTGTTCCTCTTTAGCTGCTCAGCTTCTAATATTCTGGGCTCTGTTGGACAAGCACAGATAGGAGTCTGAGTAAAAATGTGTAAAACCTTATTTTCACTTGAGGAACTGCAGGGGAGAAAGTGGGCCCAACATGCTTGAGCGAGGAAGAGAAAGATCTATGGATCAGTCTAACTAGACACACGAGGAAAAGGTTTACCAATTTTGATGGAAGAGCCATGTTTTCTCCCAAGATGCATTTACCCCAGACAAAGTACACTAGCTGCAGGACAAACTTCTGAGCCTACAGGAGTTCGACAGGAGCCGCTGGCCTGCTCCCCATGCCGGTCATTGTACTCAAGACTGGCATGGATAGATGAAGTGGCAGGGAACAGTGGGGCTCATGGAAGAAAAGGCCTCAGAGCCAGGTCTTGCTCCTGAGGAGGACACTGCCTCAGGAATGCAGCTCAGGGTCTCAGGGCCTGAGTGCCATTGCCTCCACCCAGTGCCAGGCCGGAAAGGATACGACTGATGCTTCAGCAAGTGTTTCCTCTTTGACTTCCTCATCTTGGTTTTCTCTGAGAAGGCCCTGGCCAGTTCAAACAGCTTCCTCCGGGTGGCTGGGGGTAGAGAGACCTATGAGCACCAGACCTATGAGCTGCCTCTCCGGACTGAGGGAGAGACTGGGAACTGCCCCCTCCCACGTGAAAGCAGGCGTGGGACCCAGGCTGCAGAGGAGATGACAGGCATTGGGGGCTCCTTGCAGCCCAGCTGTGCCTGAGTGGTGTAAGGCTGCCATCCCAGGTCAGCCTGCAGGGGCAGCACAGGCCACCTCCGGCAGGCCAGGACTGGCAGCAGGCAGCCCAAGATCCGGGTATTCCTTCCCCAGCTGCCACAGACAGCCACACATCTTGGCTTTCTTTCCCCCGCCATCTCCTCCCCCTCTCCCTGCCACCTCCTGAGTTGATTCTGGGATTTCCATGACTAATCCGAGATTTTTCCCTGAAATGGAGCCTGAAAGGATGGCAGCCTCATTCACACATGGTTGTGTCTGTGCGGTGGGGGATGGGAAGGCACGTCCTGGCGGGCAGAACTTTGTGAGAAGAGGTCACCGACCCAAAGACCTCCTGCCTGCAGAGTGGGCTGAGCAAGGGCCTCCCTGCCTGGTCAGACCAAGCCAAGCCCCCACAAGCCCAGAGAAAGCGAACACTAGAACAGGGCTGGGGAAGCGTATTTTTCTGCAGACGGCTAGCTCAAGAGGATTTAAAACTTAATTTGTATCCAGATTCAGCTGCAGAAGGAAGTGAGGCAGGAAGGCTGAGGGAGCCAGCCTGTGATTAAAATGTCACTTCGGTTCACCAGGAGTCAGCTGCTTTAGAAATTCTGGGTGGCTTCCTTTTCCCCACAAGGCCAAAGGGTCTTCTTAGGGGCGGTATCGAGAAGGGGCATGAACTGCACTCACATTTTCCCATGTGCTTCAACTTGTCCCTGAATAAGGCATCTTCAGACACAGTGGGGTTTGTGTCGCTGGTTCCTGGAAGGAAGAAACACCTCTGAGGGTCAGCTCCAGAGAGAGAGAGGTTGCCCAGGCCCCGGGACAGGTGTGTGGTGGTCAGGGCTGTCCCGGTAGGATGGGGTCTCCTTCCTACCCCTCCACGTAAGGAAGGAAACAAAGGGCAGTCTTCTTCCCTAACTGGGATGGAAATAAAGGGAAGAGGACACTCGGGGTTCTAGGAACACGTCTTTGCGAGCCTCTTTGCTCCACACAAAGGGACAGTGCTCCGTCTCTGTGTGTAGAGAGCCAGTGCCCACCTCCTGGCTCGGCTTCTCTGACCACTTCTTCGATCCATGACATCACATCGGTAGCTTCAAATCAGCCATAGTTGGGAGTATGTGCACCATGTCAGATACTATGCACAGGACTTCCCCCACACCCTGATATGGCTGTTAAACATTCCTCAGCACTGCATCCTGACAAAACAAGGGGTACGAGCCACTGAGGTACCTGAGGGAAGGTACAGGGCAGGCATTCATTCACCTATGGTGATTTCTTCTTCCTTCCAGGTCAGCTCATCCACAGCTCCCCCCAGATTCCTGACCCATTAGGCAATGAGGAAGAATGTGAAGGGGACCAGTGGGCCACCCAGAGTCTCCCTGCTCACTCAGCATCCACTCGGGTCTCTGTGCCCTTCCAAAGCCCCTGCTCTCCACCCGGCAACACAGCTAATCCCGAGTCACCCTGCCTGCTAAGCCCTCTGCGAGTTATTTTGATCCATCTCAGCAGCCCTCATGTCTCCAGTTAATTCAGGATCAAGGACAGGAGGCTGTGGTTAAAATCCCAGATGCACATCTGCTGGGGCCTAAGCGCCCATCTTGTTGCTTATGAGTCAGTTCCATGGGATTTTCTCTCTGCAAGCTGGGATCAGCTGAGCTCCCTGTCCTGCCCCCCACCCTTACTTCATGGCACCTGAGCTCTGCTTCCAGTAAAAGCTACTGATTCTTTGCCTGAGGCAGGTGGTCTAGGTGTGTGGAGGGTGCTGACCAACCAGGTGCCAGAGCCCACAATCATGTGGAACAAGGCCTTCTGTCCCTGCTGCCCCATGTCCCCAGTTTCAGCACAAGCCTCGCTCATGCACCCCAACTGCTTGTCCACCCCTAGCTCTTCATCAGACCGCTGGGGTTCCTGGAGGGCCTGACCCACTTTTGAGGCAATTTTGTGTCTCATCTTGTATATAAAGCTCAAAATTCTCTTCCTCTAAATGCTAGGGCGGGGCCTGGCCAGTGGCAGCTATTCGGCAGCCACTGAATGAATGCATGGGTGCATGAACCCTGCCCAGGTTCAGCTTCCCTTCTCCTAGCCATGTTTAGTCAACAAGTGTGTCCTCAGCTTTGCTGGTTTGGTCTACAAATTTCTTGGCTGCATCGCCTGCATTTCCCACGAGATTATAAGCACCCGCAGGGCAGAGACGAAGCCCTGTGAGTCTGAGCCCTCCCCACTCCCCGCCATGGAATATTATGTGGTGTGGTAGGTTTTTTTGTCCATGCTCCAGGCACCTCGAGTTCCATCAGCCTGTTGGCAAGTCCAACTGTGGGCTCCGGCAGCTGCTGGATTGGTGAGAACCCCAGGTTGCTGGAGGGGATGAGGGGGGACACCTCACTCCATGGTGAATGCAGTCATGGGGGCAGGACCCTCCCCTCCAGCCTACACCCTCCCCTCCCCCATCCCCAACCCTCTCCCAGGCAGGCACAGTTACCTGGGACAGTGGAGGGAAAGCCAAATTCATTTCCTATAGCCACGCTGCTGGACTTGGATTTCTGGGACTCATACTTCAGTCGATCTGGAAAAGGACAATATCCAGTCAAGGAAATTAACTCCCGGGTGCCAGGAGGACGCTGGAGGCCATCCTCCCAGAATCACACAATATGTGTACACACAATGACTCCTGGCTTGCAGAGAGCCAGCGGGGTGACGGCAACACCGCCTGGAACACTGACATGTCAGAACTAGAGGCAGCCTGAGAAATCACAAGAGGAAAGGCCCGGAGCCCCCCACACCCTTGCTGCAGAGCTGGGACCATTCTCGGGTCTCCCCTGCCTCAGCCTTCCCCTGGGGGTATAATGCCAGTGACACAGGCTCTCACACTGTGACCCTCACATGACAGCCCCTCCCCCAGCCCCCTCACTGCACCCCACTCCAAACACTCCCATCCTGAGGGAGAAAAACAAACAAGCTGGCGAGTAGGGTCTCTGGCCCAAAGACAGTTGGACCGCTGCCCCCACCCCCAAAAAAACTCCAAAGTCCTCTGTTCAGGGAGGTGCCTAAATAGCCTGGCACCTGGGGACCCTGTCACTCTTCATGCAGTTCCAGATACATTATGGCAAATTCAGTGCCTGACACAGCGGACAGGAGCAGGAGGGTGGAGGGCTAAGAGGACGCGCCTCTCTTCTGCTAAGTCCCGTGGGAGGGGACATGGGGTGGCTGGTGATTCAGGGCTCCGTTGAGAGAAATCTGGGCTCCCACAGGATAACTCTGTGGGGACCGTGTCTCAGCAGGACAGACCACCCACAGGCTCCGTGCCTGTCCTGAGCCCAGGCGAAAGCCAGCATCAACTCCCTTCAGTCCAAAAGCAGAGGCCACAGAGCCCCCACCGAGCACCACCTCTCTCCAGGGCCAGAAGGAAGTCGCGGTTGCGCTGCAGCTCCTTCATGAACTCCTCGTTCTGCAGGAAGAGTGCGATCCTCTCGTCCTCCAGGTACTGCTTCCAGCGGCTCTCCTGGTCTCGGGCTCCCAGCCCGGCTGTGGGGGGCAGACCCCCGTCTCCACTCCTGGGCGTGGAGCCCCCGGGGTTACCCTGAGAAAGGGAGTGAGCATGTTGTACATCTACTCACAAGGGCACAGGCCGCACAGCTGCCGTGTAATCTGGGCATACACATGTCCTTTCCCAGGATCCTTCAGCTGCATCCTGGGACCTGTACCTGCTGCCAGGACCTGGTCATCAGCCCAAACTCAACAGACCAGCGCTCTCTCTGCTAGGGAAGCAGCAAGGGCTTAACAACTAGTTTCCTCCCACTGTGGACTACCCCAACCTTTCATATACAACCAGAGGAATCCTGAAAAGTCATCTGCAAATTGCACAATCACCTGCACAGGGATTCCTAAATGCACGACTCACCCCATACCACCAGCTCAGGATGAACCCCCCACCTGCAAGGGTCCCTTGGGACATGCCAACATCTGGGGAAGAAGCTGCCCATGGATCTTCCCAGGGGAAGAAAGGAAGATGCTCTGGCCACTGCCATTGGTGGCCACCTCCCTCTAGCGGGGGGGTGATGGCTGCAGCCAGAGAGTCTCTCAGGGCTGTCACCTTCCCCAGGCGGGACAGGAAATCTCCAGCCCAGATAGGAAATGAGGCTTTCGGTGCAGCATTATTTCCCTACACCCCAGGACAACAGAAATAGCTCGGCCTGTGCTGAAACATCAGGAAGTGAACCTGGTTGGCACAAATTGTGGGCAAGCAGAGACGCTGCACAGGCAGGCGGAGGCGTCCCCCAGTACCTGTATGCTGTCCAGCTGCTGGGGCAGAATGCGCAGAAAGTCATCAGGGAGGTTGCCCAGCAAGGGTGGGTTCCAGTTCCGATAGCGCCTCTGGCTGGAAGGGAGTCCAGAGCCCAGCACATCAATGCTGAAGGGCAAGAGGTAACAATGAGGGAACAGTCAGGCACAGACACAGGTATCCTAGCCCACTGAACCAGGATCCTGCTCAAAAGCTCCCAGGGGTCTCTGCTGCCTCCAGGACAAAGGCCCATTGCTCAGTTCATCTTGACCAGACCTCCTGACTCCCCAGCCTCCAGCCCCAGGCTGGACTCCCCTGCTCCAGACCCTCACTGCTCTCCAGCCACTCAGTGCCCCAAGGTCTCTAGGCCTCGTGCACTCTGTGCATGGTACCGACCTTGGGCGTCGAGGACTAAGTAGATGTTTGAGTGGCCTGTCAAGCAAGCAGGGCTCAGAGCCTTTCCTGAAGATATTCCAAAGGTGAGCTCAGGTGTGCTCCAGATACACAGACACATAACCACCAACAGCCCAGCTCGCCCAGAAGTTGGTTTGCTGGGGGGTGGGGGAGAGGAGTAGGTTAGGGAGAGTGGAACAGATCCAGACTCCAGTTCTGGCTCAGCCAAAACCCAGTAGGGTAGACCTAGGTGTGAGACTGCTTCTGCCGAGGACTCAGTTTCCACATCTAGAAACTGCTGCCTCCCTGCCAAGGCAGTGGGACCCCCTCATCAGGCTGTGTCTTGAACAAAGTTCTGAAAAGGCACACTGAGATGTGGGAGTGGAGGTTCTGGCTCCAAGGTGTGCTCAAGAACTGCTCTGGCAGAGGCTGACGGAGAGGGGTGAGGGTGGGGGCAGGGAGGTGGCGCGTGCCCGGGCCCCTAGGCTGCTGTCCAGCTGCCCCCACCTAAGGGCAGTTGGGCCTGGCAGGGGCTCCCCACTGCTCCTGGGCAGCCTGCAGCGTGGCAACCGCAGAACACGTGTTCTGCTGAATCAGGAAAATGACACACACAGAAGCTGAGGGCCAGGGGTGGTGGGGACGGCTCGGGCCTGGCTTTGATTTGGGCTCCAGCTCCAGGAATCCTGCCGCCCCCTCACTGGAGGGGAGCTTTTTCCGGGCTGCCACTGACTATAGAAATAACTTCCTTTCCTTTTCTATTTTGGGCGGGTGGCCGGGAGGGGGCGGGGGGAGGGGTGGGGGCGGCAGCAGACGGGATAACCAGCTGCTAAGTGAGCAGTGGGAGCTCAGCACAGGCAGACTGAGCCAGGGAACCCCGGCACACGTATGCCTAGTCCACCCTCTCCAGGAAGGGCTTGCTCGGGACTCGGATGTCTAGGCAGACTTCTCTAGACATCTTTCGGCTGTTGTTACTCTTGGAGGCTTCACTTTTCTCCAAGGGTCTGAGAGGCTGCCCCATCTTTCGGAGACTTGAAGACCACCTCTGGTGGCCGCAGCACAGAGAAAGCCTCTTCGGGATCACTACCTTCCCTCGGGCTTCAGGGCCTTCATCTAGCTCACGGGTGCCCACTCCCAGCTAACCACATCTGGAGTCACCCAGGAAAGCTGCAGACAGAAAGCCCTGGAGTTGCATCTGGACCGCTCCAGCCATTTCTCACTGAAATCCAAGTGGGGTGGGAGATGAGAGGGTGAGGCCCTATTCTCAATTAAGTTTCCCTTGCTGCTGGGCTGATGGTCCTGGAGGAAGAAGGGACCTGGCACAGGGTGGTAGAGATGAGGTCAACCCAAAGCTGAGAGCCAGGGGGGCCCTGAGCCCAGGCAACGCCACTGTGGTCAGAAAGGAATGTCAGAAATGAGTGGAGAAAAATAAAAATCTTCCATGACTGTAATTTCAGTGGAAAAACAGCAGGGGGCCTCTCAGAGGGGGCCCCCTGGGCCTCAGACACTCATTCAGGAGACAGAGGACAGAGGTGTAGGGAAGGGGAAGAAGGCTGGATAAGATCTCCTGGCCCAGAGCCTCTACTACTGGCTCCCAAAACTAGAACTCATTCCCCATCAGATTCTTCAAGTTTACCCATGAAACATCAGACCCCACCCGGATTTTAGAGACAGACAGGGCCTGAGGTAGACTGGACAGCGAGGTCCAGGTGGGGTGAGGCCCTGTCAAGGCACACAGATCATCCAAGCCCAGGGATCTGGCATTCCAGGCATGCTCCCCCATCAGCCTGCCTCTGCCACCTGCATTCTTACAGGCACCCAGTGACGTGGTGGTAATGCTCCCCTCCTCCAGGCCCCACTCAAGTCTGATCTCTCCCAGCAGCCAGAGGGAGGTTCTGGCTGCTGAAACACTAACCCGATCACATCACTCTCAAGCTTATACCCGCTGGCTGCAAGATAAGGTCAAAGCTCCTTGGAGGGCCCACAAGGCCCCCATGATCTGCTCGCCTCTCCAGCCTTACCCAGCCACTTGACACTTCTGGAATTCCCCAGACGTTTCCCTCTTTCCTGCCTCCAGGCCTTTGCACAAGCTAGTCCCTTGCCTGGCATGCCATCCTGTCCTCTGCTTCACCAGGTCACAGCTTGGACATCAGTTCCTCTAGGCAGACTTCCTTAGACCTCCACCCCCACGTCTGTCTCCCTCAGACTCTGATCTCCTTGGGGGATCAGGGCAGTGCTGTATTCATCTCTCTATCACACGCAAGGTTCATTGCAGGTGACTCAGTCAAGACTGGAAAAGAGTGTTATGGATGAAGAGGCGGAAAGACACCCAAGAAATGGCCTCAGGGTAGATCTGGCCTTAGCAGGTCCTTCCTGGAGCAAAGAGGCAGGTGCTCAGAGGCTGGCCCTGCCTCTACTGAACACTGCCTCTCAGGGAAAACTGGCCTCTGACCTGAGAGGCCAGCTGTGCAGCAGGGGTGGGAAGGAGCAGTAAACCAGTGACGATAGTTCTGGTCCATACCTGGCACTGTGCTAAGTGCTCCACACACAACATCTTATTCAATCCTCACAACAGTGCCGAGGCGGGGATTAGTATTCCCATTTCACAGATGAGGCAAGCGAAGCTCAGAGAGGTTAAGTAGTGAGCCAAAGGCCACACAGCAGAGGCACCTAAAGAATCAGAAGTTAGGCAGCTGAAGGAAGGGGTGGGGAGAGCACTCTCCTTCTGTCTGACTCTACAACTCAAGTTCTCTGCCCTGTAGCCACCCCCAGCCCAGCAAAGCCTTCATTTCTGGGTCAGGCCCCTAAACCTCTGGCAAAAGGAGTAAATTATCTAAAGTCAGAGTTCAAACAAGGCCTCCTGAGCCTTGGTTCCGTGTTGAGGTCACCTTGCCCCCAACTGAGGCTCCCATTACTGGACTGTCCTGCCCCTGCCTCAGCCCTACCCCACCCACAGCAGCCAGAGCAGGGAGGGGAAATGTAGCCACCATACCCAACCAGATTTATACGAGGATCCTCTTACAGCCTTAGTTTTCCCTTATGAAAAATAGGCAGAACCACTCTGCCTAACAGAAACTGGACTTCTTTCAAAACCATCTTGGGATTTTTTTTTAAAAAGTCAACGGAAAATGATCGCTGGGCTCTGTGACCTGCCCCAGGCTGCACAGCGCCTCCCCCAGACCCACTCACTTACTCCCCCACCTCCCACCCCAGGATAGCCTCCTGGTACCACTTGTGATGAAGGGAGGCCCCCAGCTCTGCTCCTGCCTCTGACTCCGAACCTCCACCCCCATCACCACTATCGAAGCCTCAATCAGCTCCCTGAGCCGCAAGTGCAAGAATATTTCCTCCGTAGGGAGGTAACAGGATATAAGAGTGAAGAGCATCTGACCTGGGTTCAAATCCCAGCTCTGCAGTCATGGAGAAGTTATAAAACCTCTGAGGCTGTTTCCTCATCTGTAAAATGGGGATGACAACAGCGCCTGCTTCCTCACCTGCGAGGGGATTTGACTGTGATGTGTAGGTAAAGAACCTTGTGAGTTTCTGGCATTTGAAGGGCATTCAGTAAATAGCAGCTGTTATTATTTATAGCTGTGCGACAACAGAGGTCCCCACTACCACTGTCTGGGGCTCCCAAGGTCCCCAGAGGGAAGATCCACTGGAACAAGTCCATGTCCCATCATGTCCTCCATGCCTCTCCACCCCAGGCCTGAGCCATCCCAAGGGACAGAGGGCAAAAGCACCTGGGCTCCCACCCGACTGTGAGAACCAGCTGGCGACCAGTTTCACCTCAGACATCCACATGACAGAGTTCCTGACCTGGGAAAGTCTCCAGGGACTAAGTCTATTCCCTCCCTCCCCAGTTATCAAGCTGTCTCACAGGAAGAGACTCCTTACTTCCATTACTTAAAAATCCTCACAAAATCCCCAGATCAGGGGTGACAAATACACTTAATTCTATCATTGATGGCTATCTGGGGATACTGTTTTGAGGAAGATTCTGCGGTTTCATCTCAACTGGGTAGGAAAGTGCACAGGGATCGATTAGTAATGTTTTCCTTAAGCTCGGGAGAGCACACATCATGTATTTGTCATTCCCACCCTGCACGTCCTTGACTCTTAAGCTCCCAGAAAGCAGAGGCTGAGCCTCATTTCACTCTGGCTCCTGTGGAATTTATACAGCACCTAGACAGCAGTAGGACTTGAGTGAATGCGCTTACAACGCTTCCATCTTGAACGTGCCCCTTGCTATCTAGCTGAATTGTCTCTTGCTGCTATAGATACCTGCCCTTGGGGTGATAATACACTAGGGGTCCAGGCACGTCTCCCATTGTGTTTGTACTCAATCCCAGCCAGGTCACCCTTCATCCCCTTCCCCAGTGCACTGCCCCACGCTCAGCGAGGAGATGGCTTCTCACCGGGGAGGCGGAGTAGGGGGAGCGAGAGGGTAAGGCCTGTCGAACACGTGCATGTGGTAGGCTGGCGGGGAATACACGGGCGGGGGCTCTTCATCAGAGCTATCAGGTTCCAAAGTCCTCTCCAAGATCTGTATCAGGGACAAGAAAGAGAGAAATATTAAAAACCCTTCCTTGAATTTAAATCACATTCAGACAAAAGCAGGTGTGGGCGAGTATGTGTCATTAGGGAACTCTGCCTTCGCTTTGGGAATGTAAATTGATCCAAGCACGGCTTTGCAAAACTGTTTGACTTATGCTAAAGTTAACGCATGACTACATCTGACCCTACAGTTCCGACATACTCAACAGACTTGAAAGCACATGTCCCCAAAAGAATGTTCAGAGCAGCATTCTCCATCCAAGTTTCAAAAACAGGCAAAACAAATCACAGGGCTAGAAGCAGGAGCAATGTGGTCTCTTCTGAGGTGGGAAAGCCCCTCTTCAGAGGGGGTGCAGGGGGATTCCGGGCTTTGTGGGTGCTGCTAAGACTTCACTGAGCGGCTAACCTGTGAGAGTGGCCTCTTCTGCACGTGTGTTACTTTTGATAACCTTATCATCCGGTGATCTCACCTTAACCTCAGCTTGGCAAGATCGGCTACGGGTCTTTATCCCCATCTTCAGATGAGGCCCAGGTTGACTGAGTGACATGGAAAATACCATATACTGTGTTTAGAACTGAGTCTTCATCTTGGCCATGGTCTCTGCAGCAAGGGTCTCCCCTCAGCACTGCCTGCACACCCAGGCTGGATTCTTAAGGTGGACAGTGACCAGGGGAGCGTCCAGGATGCCTGCTCTCCTTCCTGGACTCCGCCCTCCATCCAGGAGTCAGAAAAAGGCACAAAGAGAGGCTAAGGGCCAGGCAAAGACCAGGGTTCCTGCTACATGGACTGACCCTGTAGGTCCACAGGGGAGCCTGGGCTAGGAGGCAGCTTCAACCAGGAAATCCCAGGTCATGGACATGTCACTGCTCTACACCTTAGCCTCCTGCTCCCCTCTGCTCTCCTCCCCAGTCAGTCTCATCTCCCCAAGACCAAAGAACACGGGGAGGGGCTCAGACTCTGTTACTCCACCCTAGAGCCCCAGGCCCCACATTTTAACCCCAAGTGAGTGTGCAGGTTTCATGGCTAAGCTGCCACTTGGCTGGCCTAGGCTGGGCCACACTGCACACCTCTGCCCTAAGCACTGGCACCCAGTCTCACAGGGACACCCCAATGGGGTGGGCAGGTGGGTGAGCACAAACACAAGTGCACACATGCACGCACACACACTGCCACGCTCTGTGCACATACAGCCAGCCCGACCCAAAGAGGCCTCCTGGCCTGGAATGCACTAACATTCTTCTCTTTGAGGCGGAAAGTATTTAAACAGATGCTTTTGCAAAAAGCAGAATGTAGCTGCTTTGCGGTCCACTGCTCTGCTCACCCCAAATTTCCACAAGAAGAAAAGAGAACACTGTAAGTCCCACCCCTGTTCACTGGTTACCCTCCGAGGCCTGGCTGGGAGCAGTGCTGGGCAACTATCGGTGTGCCCGGAGAACACGCTCATGCTCCCTGGTTCCTAGATGCTGGGGCTCTAAGGGACAAGGTTTCAGGCAGGGGCCTTGAGGCCAGTACCTGGGGGCCCAGCCACTACTCTGTCCCCACTGAGGCTGGTCTGAGTGAGATGGGTGAGATAGGGGAGAGCTTGGAAGGAACTGTTTCAGGAAGGAAGCTGCTGGTGTTTCCTATAACTGTGGCTGTCAGCACCACCACCCGCAAACTCAGGGAGATCAGGTCCCTTCCGCTTGAGCAGTTCTTGCTCTGCAGTACAGCCTCCTGCACAGGTTCCTGGAGGAGAATAGGAAATTCCAAGGAGACAGGCAGAGGGCCAGGTACACTCAAGAAAGGTTGATCCTGAGCCTCCAGGAAGAGTAACCCAGCCATATTTCTGGTTCCCCCTCCCCTCTTCCCCCAACCTCACCAGCCACAATGAGGTCGTTCTCCTGGCTCTAAAGATGCTGCTGTTTTCGGTTCTACTGCCTCCTGGCTTATCTCGGTGTGGGTGATGGATGCCTGCCAGGTGTTCCAGGGGCCGGGGTCTGGCCATTTATCTGACAGAAGAGATTTCTCCATGGCAAGGATACCCCTAGGGCCAACCCACCATCCATCAGCCCCCAGGGAGGGGGCTTTTTCCAGACAGCAGTTATTGCCATTCCAGCTGCTGCTCATCAATTTTTCTCTGCACTTTTGCTGGCTCAGGAGCTGCCTGCCATTGGGCCCAGGCAGAGCTCCAGAGGTGGGGGGCTGGGGAAACAGCCAAGGAGGGGTGCTGAGCAGGAGCTCAGTCTGAAAAGCAGGATTCTTAGAAAAACAGAAGTGCACACAGTGGAGGCCTCTGTAGGGGAAGCTGTTTTAGAGCTTCATAGGGCTTCAGGGCAGTGGACAGAGGAAATATCCTACCTGCCAGACCAGAAAGGGTCAGAGTTCACAGTGCACTTTCCTTCCAGCTCACACTTGAGGATATATCTGTATCTGTAATATTGCTCTCTTCCCTCTGCCCCCACCTCTACCCCACAGTTTCTACAAAGAGGATCTGGGTTTTCTAATACTCCTTCCCCTGGCTAATCCTGGCAGATCAAAGGAACAATCTCCCAGGGGGAAAAAAAAAAACACTAAAGAAAGCCCTGCTAAGACAGCAGCAACATATATTCATTCAACAAACATTCTCTGAGTGTCAGGACTGTTCTGGATGCTGCAGGGGACACAGGGATGAGCCAGATGTCACTCCCCAGAGTTTCTCCATCAACCAGAGAGAAGTCTCAGGCGGCACACACTGAAGAAGGAAAAGCCGGAGGGCTTGCCCTGTAGTATGACTGATTGGTGGACAGCGGTTGCCTGCAGGACCATGTTGAGAAGCACTCGAAGGCCATATGTGCATCTAGGTTTTGTCACTGTAAATGGGGGTGATAATAATGCCACCTCACTAGTTTGAGGATCAGAAGAGCTAACAAACTATGGGGATTGGATTGTGCCTGGCATGGCTTGGGAATCACTAGCAGTGGAGTTCAAACCCATCCACAGGCCCCTCATCTTGCCCATGGCTGCACGGCCCCAATGCCCCTGTGGGCATCGACCCTGCCACTGAACAAGTCTCTGTACCCCTCTGCAAGTCCTGCAGAGGCTGGGGGTGGGAGGTGCGGAGGGATGAGTACTGAACAAATGGCTGGGGCAAGGGAACACTGGCCACACCCAACAGGTGGGTCTTGAAGCACCTGGCAGTCCCTTCACCCCAGCCACCTCCCTGTTGAGAGAACTGCTAGGGTTTCATCACTGCTGCCTCCACCACACCCCACCAGAGGAATTTAACTAGCAAGACTAGTGGCACTCCTCTGCTGTGTTCTCAGTCCCTCGGGGTACGGTGCCACTCTTGTTCTCAGCACAAGGCCTTATCAATCCCCTGCTCACTCCAGGATCCCGACAGATGGTCCTACTGCCAGTTCCCTAATAACGCATGCTCTATTTCACCTCTGAGTATTTGCACAAGCTGTTCCCTTTGCCTGCACACCTTTTCCCTCACTCTTCACTCTTCCTTGGGTCTTAGCTTAACCCCTGCTTCCTCTGAGAAACCACGCCCTCCTCTGCAGCTCCCAGTCGCCCATCATAGCACTTGCCATCAAGTCAGTAGTCACTGGCTGACTCCTGCTACTAGTCCCCACAGGATAGTGAGCTAGCTCTGTAAGGGCAGAAACTTCCTCTGACTTGGCCAAGGTGGACACCTAGAAGTTCCAGAAGAGGAGCCTTTCTTGAAAAATGCAGACAGCCTGGAATTGAGTATCTCCATTTTTTTTTTTTTTAAACAAGTTCCTTGATTCTGATGACTCTTGATCTAGGGTCTACGACTATGCGTGGCACATCATTGCGTGCTCAATGTTTGTTGAACGACTGCATGATCGTTGCCCATAAAATAAGGACCCTGACCAACTTGGGTATGGTTTCCCTCAGAGAAATAAGGCTGCTTTCGAGTTAGGACCCAGATAGGGGTATGGCCCAAGTCCTCTAGGAGCTTCAAACAGCTGTTGGAACACTTGGTGAATGATGGATCGGGCTATGCCCCTACCTCTGGGGGGATGCTGTCATCTGAATCGGAGCTGTCGTCGTAAGCGCTGCCGCCACCGCCCTCCAGGTTCATCTGCAGCAGCTGGTCGATGGTGGCGTCCACGGCGCCGCTGTTGGCGCGCAGCACGCACTCGATGATGTCGTAATCCATGTTGGGGAACATGGTCTTGAAGTCGTCCATGGCCTGGTTGAACTCGAGGCGGCGCACCTGGCGGGCCGGCCGGCTGTTGTTGAGCTCCTGCGAGGTGGGCGCCGCGCTGCTCCCCGCGCCCGCGCCCCCTCGCGCCCCGGCAGCGCCCCCGCCCCCGCCCCCGCCGCTGCTGCTCCGACGGAACAGGCTGGTCATTTTTCCGAGGCGCTGCGCTAAAAGATTTCCAGCCCGCGCCGAGCCCCTTCCCCCGGGTCCTTGTGCCGTCGCAGCGCGCGCCGCGGGCTTGGCAAGCTCACTCCCTGGCCTCCGCCGGCCCCTGGCGGCCTGGTAGGTGTGGGGCCGGCAGGGTCCCTGAGTCAGAAGTCTGGGGTGCGGGGCCACCGGCGGCCCTCGGGGAGCGATCCTAGCGGGGCGGCGGCATCCGGGCCTGGGTAGCTGGTCAGCCACACCCGCAGAGCATCCTGGGGCTGGCTCCACGGAGGGTCCCACCTGGAAACCAAAAAAAGAGTGTCAGGGGCCTAATACAACAAACTTGAACGCAGGCTAAGGGGATGCGGGAGACCCCCAGCCAGGGGGAAACTTTCCTTCTGCTTTCTCTCCAGCTGCAAGGAGAGCTGCCAGCTAGCAAGAGCTTACTCTGTGCCAGGCATCTGAGTGTCCTGTGTGGACTGTGACAACACTGTGAGATAGGGGCTAGTATGTGCCGGCTTGGGGTCTGGTATATCCTGGCTTGGGGGATAGGAAAATAGGCCAAGATGCTGAAAGTGAGGGAGTCTGGATTTGAACCCATGACCATAACCCCTAAGTCACAAATTTCAACCACTATGAAGCCAAGAAACTCTGGGGCCTGACTGGGACAGGAGACTTCCCCATCCAACTCCTGCTTCCCTCATCTTCCCACTTCAGGGTCCCAGCATCATTGCATCCAATTTGTGCACAGCTCCACTGATTCTGAAAAATCAAAACAGAAAACTTCCTGTGCACTCAGAACCAGGCATGTAAATCACTGCCAAGGTTGCATTTCTGTTAGTGCAGTTAACTGAGAATTGCGTGTGTCTAAAAACATCACGTTCTGATTTTCTCTGACTTATTCCAAGATTTACAGTAATTTTGTTAATTGTCGAAAAGCAGCAGCTTTATTTTAAGGAACTGTTCCATTAAAGGATATTAAGTTTGAAACAGGTGCAAACCCATTTTTCCTTTCCTAGGACTTGGGATCATAATCTTAGCTGATATAGAAACTTTTTTTTTTTAAATATTGGATATTTTTTCTTCTTTTTTTTTGATTTATTTATTCTTTTTTTAATTTTTATTTTTTTAAAGATTTATTTATTTATTTATACAAGCACTGGGTACAGTCAGAAGTGTGAGAGGGTGAGAGAATTCACCAGAGCCAGAGCGGGGAGCAGAACAGGCAGAAGGACCGAAGCACACTGCTGAGGGGAGCAGCGGGCGGCAGGAGAGGTCTGCGCGCCATGTGGGACCCTCCTCCGCTGGCCGGGGAGCAGCCAGGGATCGAACTGGCACTGCACAGGCTGCGGGCAGTTTCGCAACCCAGCGCTCAACCGCTGCGCCACCGGGGAGGCCCTGATATAGAAACTTTCATGTGAGCAAATCAACGTGATGATCTTTGCCATGCTCGCAGCAGTAAAATAACTATGAAAAGAGGAAGTCACCAGAGGAGTAAGGAGAGCGCCGTGGAAGAGACTTCCTTCACTCCAGGGCCAAAAGATTTCCTCTGTCCCTTTAGATCTGTCTCCTCACAGGTAAAATGGAAACTTAACTGTCCCCTTTCAGCGCCACCATGCTGAGATTCTAATCTCCTTCAAACTTTCAATTCCTTGAGTGACATAGAAATTGTCCAGAGCCTCCTATTCTGGCTCAGAGACACCTGGCTGGGTGTCTGCCTAGTTGCCAGGGAGGCAGGCTGTCTTCAAGAATAGGAAAATAGGGCCTCCCTGGTGGCGCAGCGGTTGAGCGCTGGGTTGCGAAACTGCCCGCAGCCTCTGCAGCGCCGGTTCGATCCCTGGCTGCTCCCCAGCCACTGCTCCCCAGCTCCCGGCCACCGGAGGAGGGTCTCACATGGCATGGCGCGCAGACCTCTTCTGCCGCCCGCTGCTCCCCTCAGCAGTGTACCTCGGTCCTTCTGCCTGCTCTGCTCCCTGCCTGCTCTGGCTCTGGTGAATTCTCTCACCCTCCCTCACTTCTGTGCCCAATGCTTGTATAAATAAATAAATAAATCTTTAAAAAAAAAAAAAAAAAGAATAGGAAAATAGAAAGACATGGGTCCCTTGCATTGGTGTCACAGAACTATAATCACCTCCCTCCCCTACCCCTGTGAAGACATGTTAACACTCTGGTACATCAACATCTAGGTACTTTTTCTCTGCACGCACTACCATATGTATGAATTCATCACTGAAATGTAATCAAACCATAAATTCTACTACACAACGTATTTTTCCCACTTAATAAAAAATTTATTACTAAATTATTATTAATAAATATTTATCTTCCATGTCAGAATATTTAGATCTACTTTATCATTTTTAATGCCTGAGTAGTATTCTGTTGACTGGGTGAAACATGATTTATCATCTAACCACCTCCCCCCATCTCTTCCAAGATGAGTAAGTCACAGCTCTGAGAGGCCAAAGCCATTTCACAAGGACATAGAGGAGTGACCTCAAGTGATCACTGCAAGAATGTTATTATGAAAATGAACACAGGAAGGTAGCCAAGTATGACATGGCCTGCCACAGCCAGCTTTAGACACCCCAACCCCCCCAATGCCCACACCTCCCATCAACCCTGACACATCAGCTTGGCGGGTGCTGCTCAACTCTGCCAGAAGGCCTGCAAGGCGGGCCTCCACCCTAGTGGCTGCCTTTGTCCTGGGCTCTTAAGACTAAAGTCCTCTGGAATAAAGCTGCCATCTCCCTGGCCCTCTAGTCATTCAGAAAGAGAGAGGGAGCCCCTCTGCTCTCACTTTGCCAAAGGCAGTCCCTTGGAGAAAAAGCCAGGATCTGATCTATCCCTGGCAGATGATGGGGTGCACACTTCCCCATTAACAGCCATTTGGATTGCCCCCGGGTGTCTGAGTGTTGGGAAGCCCCCAAGAGGCATTCTCACACTCACACCATTTACAGTAAGTGCGCTGGTTCAGACCCAGGCTGCAGTTCCTGCTCCACCATTCCCCAGCTCTGGGCCCTAGTAGGCGTATCCTCTACTCTCTGCCCAATAACCTTACCTTTACATCTGGTCTTCAATGTGAATGAAACAGGATACTCCTTAGTGCAGCCTGGAATGTGCCTAGCTACATGATTGCTGTTGCCACTACCCCAGAAGGCTGACAAAGAGCCAGGAGTCGTGGGTATACTGGCTAGGCTGCTGCCTAAAGTGGATGGAGCTGGGGACTCTAGGGCATCCTTCCCCAGCACCAGGATGTCAACCCCTGGAATTCCTTCAGCCCTCGAAGGAGACACTGACCCACGCAGCACCAGGGGAGGCCTGGTCGGTGGCAGAAGACACCATAGCTCAAGCAGCTGCTTCCATTTACCCCCAATGCAAAACCTTGTGTGTGTGCCAAGACTCTACTGACAGCTCTAAACCAGCCCTGCACCCTGCTCCACATTACAAAGAGACTGACACCCAACACTAGGAGGGAGTTGCCCAAAGATAATAAGCCAGCAGTGGCAAAACCTAGACTTTTCCATCAAAAGGCAAGTTCTATCTATGAGGAGACAGTGGCTCAGAAATGGTCACGGAAATGCAGAGAAATAGCATTCGATATATGGAAACACCATTTTTACCAGCCTCTGCAAAGACTCACAGTCTCCTATAATTAACACCAGGCAGGGCTATGAGGGCCCCAACTTCTCAGAGGACCATCCCTGCTCCCCCCTCACAGGACCAGAAGGCTAGGCAGTCTGGGAGCCGAGGGAAGGACTGTCTTCAGGGTCAGGCTGCCTTTGCAACCAGCACTGTTCAAATGAAAAACAATTTAAAGCACATGAAAGAAAGAAGGCAGGCTGCTTAGGTTTACGAGCTTGTGCCAGGTGCTTCCACATTTAATCTTTATTACAACTGCAGAGATAGATGTTATCTCTGTTTTATAGCTTTGGAAACCAGTTCAGAGAAGTTAAGTAATTTGTGCAAAGTCACACAGCCATATGTAGAGAACCATAATTAGGAACCCACGACCTAAGAGCCAAAAATGCCAAGTCAGACTGGCAAGGCTAAGAGCCAAGACGCTTCAGAAATGCAACCATGTGTGCCCCAGGCTCAAGAGACTGGGCACAACCCAACTGACATTCCAGCAGAGAAAATGTGACCCAGACAGTGCTGGGGGAAGGAGGTGCAGAGGGGTGTCTGTTGGCTCAGCCAACAGCTGGCTCTGTGACCTTAGAGAAACCACTCCACCTCTCTGAATCCTAGAGGCTGGGCACTGTCAGAGAAAGGGAGATAACCCCTGACTGGCTTCTAAAAAAGGAAGTAGATCAAATCTGCTGAGCCCGTTAGCCACCTTGGAGGTCAACTCAAAGACTCTCCTGAACTCCCAGTTGTTGAGCGACGACCTGGGGATTAGGAGGCAGAAACCTGTCCTCCCCCAGGCCCCAGGGAGCCAGGCCTTCCACCTCCTGGTAAAGGAATCCAGGCCCGTCAGGGGAGTGGCAGTGGGCCAATCTTCACTCCAAGTGTGAATAGACAGCCAAAGACTGAGTCACGCCTGGCCTGGTCCAGGGAGGTGGGTAAGCTGCCCGACAGTTCTCCTGACCTTGCCCAAGGTCATCCCAGTCTGTCTTCTGCCGGGTCAGAGAGGGTCTGCATGGAATATGAGAGCCCAGGAGCCGGAGTCCTAGCTTCCCATTCTAACTGGCCTAGTACGGCTATGTGATTTGAAAATTATCTTACTTCTCTGAACCGCAGGGATATTATCTACTTGGGAGAGGTTTGTGATAGAACCTAAATGGGAGCACTGGTAAGCACCCAACAAGACAGGTTGGTGTGGCCTTGGGAACAGGACTTGGCCCTTTCTCTGGGCTACACCTATACCCTGAGTGATCTTACCCAGTTCTGAGGCATTAAATGCCATCCACACACTGAATCCTGGCTCCCAACTCTGCTCTCACCCTGACTTGTCCCAGAAACTCCACACTCACACACCTGACCTGCTGACTTGCTTGGATATCCAATAGCAGCTCCAACATATGGGTCATCTGACTTCATGATTCTGCCTGACTGCAACCTGCACTTCCCCTACCTCCCTGCTAATGGCAACTCCATGTGCTCAGGCCACACGCTTGAGAGTCGTGCTTGGGAGTTCTCGTACCCCACACAGCATCGCAGCAGTCTGGTTTTGCTATCATCAAAATGATGGGGACGCCAACTCTGCCTCCCCACCTCCATCGCTACTACCCCTCCCCACCTCCCTAACTCTCCATTGCCTCCCTAGTGACCACTTTTCATGCTGTTATGTCATTCCTCTG